TGAGTAGCTAGAACTACAGGCATGTGCCACCAAGCTGGCTAATTTTTGTACTTTTTGTAGAGATAGGGTTTCACCATGTTGCCCAGGCTGGTGATTTTGATGTTTATGATTACAAACATCATAATTGCTAATAGGAGCAACTATTTCTAAACAGCGAATTTACATATAGAGAGAAGATTAGTATTTTTAAAAAACAAAAGTATATCTCAAAACACATATGTTCACTAATAGTCACGATTTCATCACCTTTCTGCTGAGTCTGCGTTTAAGTTCCATTTTTGCTTCTTGTTCCTCTTCTTCATTCTTTTCTGTTTATTAAAGGGGGAAGGTCATGATGACGGTTACTATAGATGATTTTATAATCAGAAAAATATATCAGGCCACAATCATGTGACTCTAACAAACAATGATCAAATACTACACCAACATCATTAACAAGTTGTCAAAAGATTTTGTAGAAAGGTTGATCATCTTATACAGACACATACACACACACATATATATGTATATGTTTCTTTTTTGTAGGACTGGTTTGCTAATTTTAAACGTTTTTGCTTCCTGATATCTTGTTCTATGCTTAAAAAACAAAACAAAACACAGGAGTGTCCATGTTCTAATGAAAGCCCTCCATTGCTGATCATCTCATGGGCTTATAAGCACAATTCACCAGAATTCAGATAAAAATTTACTTCTGAATCTGGCCTTCATGTGAAAATCGGAGACATATTAAAAGAGCAAATTAGAACCATCCGATGCATGTCTGAGCTGCTGATTTCCATTCAAATCCAACCAAAATATTTGATTTGTCTTCCTTGGTTTCCATAGAAGCAGAATGTAAGCATTTCCTTGGACTTTGCTTTCAAACCAGAATGTTCTAAATGAGGTTATGATGTACTGTGGGTGGAAATTATTTATTTTCTTGTGACTTTGCCTTTCCAAAGTCTTCTCTTTCTCTAGTGATTCACCAAGTAGTACAATTTTATGCTGCCCAACAGATGGGATTTAAAGAAAAATGTCCAAAATTTTTAAAGAAATAAACATCCTTCAGGTTTTGCTGTTTGTTGCTTACTAGAGGAACTTCTCTCTGTTGCTTCCTTTAGCTCATCATCTGTTCGATCAGTGAGCGTACATTTTGCTTCTTAGATACTGATACTTATGATAGACCATGTTTTAGAAAGTGTTATTATGAACTCTTTTGAAGGAAAATCACACTGTATAAAGATTTGACCGAAAGGTTGAAAAAAGAAAACTTCTTCTGTTTATTTACTTTTATTTTATTTTTTGGGACAGAATCTCGCTCTGTCACCCAGGCTGGAGTGCGGTGGCATGGTCTTGCCTCACTGTAACCTCTGCCTCCCGGCTTGAGTTAAAAAAAATTTTTTTAAATCCATGACAGGTATGAAACATATTTATTTTAAAATTCAAATAGAATTCTTACAACTAAGACTATTCTCACTGTGAATAAAATATCAGCATTCAATATTTGCAACATCTATATGTGTTAGTTGAACAGGTTAAATTTTCTATCAGTTTTCCTTCTCCGAAAAGGGAAAAGATTTTGTGTTCTTCTGAAATAATAACTTGAATGCATAAGAAAGAAGGTGATTAGACAGAGAGTGAACATAAACTGTAATCATCCACAAGACAAGAAATGAGTTAATATCCTTTCATTTCGTGCCAGTCAAACAAATTTTGCTATAATTTACATTTCTTCCTATGAAAGTATTGTAGGTTTTTAATTGCTTCTCAAAATATATACCCTTCCATATCCTTAAAAATGCATACTCAGGTTCAAGAATTACCTTATATGAGTTGGATGAAGCTTGTGAATTTTCAAAATACATAAAAAACAAACACCACTGTGGTTCCTGTGATTCGAACCAGAGCTTTACAAGGTGATGAGATAGTGAAAATAAAAATAAAATTGTTGATATTGTTGATAAAAATGGATGATATTGTTAGTGATATTGATGACATTTAAGGAAAATATAATCTTTTTTTTTTTTTTTTTTTTTTTGAGACAGAGTCTTGCTTTGTTGCCCAGGCCTGAGTACAGTGGATCTCTGCTCACTGCAACCTCCACCTCTCAGGTTCAAGTGAGTCTCCTGACTCAGCCTCCCTAGTAGCTGGGATTACACATGCATGCCATCATCTCCAGCTAATTTTTTGTATTTTTAGTACAGATGGGGTTTCACCATGTTGGCCAGGCTGGTCTTGAACTCCTGATCTCAGGTGATCTGTCTGCCTCAGCTGGGAAAATATAATTCTTAAAACACTTTTGTCCATTCTTCTTATGCAGTGTTTATGCTATATTTTTAAGGTACTTTTCAAGGATGAAAATATTGGCTATAATACATCCCAAAGCTAACGAATGCTCCAGTCTTCATTAAATATGCAAAAATGACATTTCCTTCAAGGGAATATCAGAAAGTTTTGCCTTATTAAGCGTACTGTACAAGTAGTGCTACTAGGTAACTGATGCCTGAAAAGAGCCAGGCCAACTGCAGTTAGAGAACTGAATTCATTTTTGACATCAGGAACTGACTTCTTTACATTTTCCATGTTCGAAATTGTACTTTTAGTGAAGTTAGAAGAGGAGGGTGAGAGGTAGAGGGAAGCCAACATGACTGTTCCTCTGAATCTTCATTTTTATTTTTATTTATTTATTTTTTGAGACAGAGTCTTGCTCCGTCACCCAGGCTGGAGTGCAGTGGCATGATCTTGGCTCACTGAAACCTCTGCCTCCCAGGTTCAGGAGATTCTCCTGCCTCAGTCTCCCAAGTAGCTTGGGACTACAGGCACCTACCACCACACGCAGCTAATTTTTTGGATTTTTAGTAGAGATGGGGTTTTATTGTGTTAGTCAGGATGGTCTCAGTCTCCTGACTTTGTGATCTGCCCACCTTAGCCTCCCCAAATGCTGGTATTACAGGCATGAGCCACAGCGCCTGGCCTGAATCTTTATTTTTATTTTGTAGAAATGGGCTCTCCCTATGTTGCCCAGGCTGGTCTTATCTCCAGGCCTCAAGTGATCCTCCAGCCTTAGCTTCCCAAGTAGCTGGGATTACCAGCATGAGCTACCATGTCAGCTTCTCTGAATCTTATTTAACAGTCATTGTAAAATCTTTCATAAAGTCAAGATTAAACCTTAAACTCAGAATTTAAAAATTCACCAAGTTTTTTGTATGCTTCCTTCATTTTTGATTCACTAAAGGACTAATTATAAAGTAGAATGTAAATCTCTGGTCATTTTAAACAGGCTGGAGGGATATTTATGAAGGAAGTGAGGTGGTTCATTGACAAATCTTGCTCTCAGTGACTCTCATCAGAGTAGAGAGGGGTGAATATTTCTGACAAGCCGCAGGAAGTGTTTTCCATAAATAAACAAATAAAACATGTGGTTAAACAGCAACGGGTACTACAGGAAGCCCACCTGGTGAGCAGTGCTACCCAGAGAATTTTGTGGATGAGCTAAAAGGAGGAGAAAGAAAAGTACAAAAGTACCAGCAACTGGAATATTATATTCTTGAGTTGTTAATTCAGATAAAATGGATTCAAAAAGCCAACATTTGTTGCAGGTTTGTTTCTCTTTTTGCTTTTTACATGTTTCCATGTAGATTCCCCCCCCCCCCCCATTTTTGGTGGAGATGAGATCTTGCTATATTGCCCAGGCGGGTCTCAAACTCCTAGCCTCAAGCAATTCTCCTGCCTTGGTCTCCCAGGGCTTTGAGACTGCAGGCATAAGCCACCTTACCTGGCCTCATGTGGGTGTTTTTAACATATTAAAAAACATGCATAAACTTAAAGTGTGTTTAAAAAAGCTGGATCAACAGATGCACAGATATGTCATAAAGCAAGATGTTAACGATAGATTATAGATGGTAGATGTTGGGGGATTTACTGTGAAGTTCCTTCAACTTTTCTTCATGTTTAAAAATTTTCATAATAAAATATTGGGGGAAAATACATGCAGAATTCAATGTCCTAATACATTTTTCTCTATAGACGACATAGCTAGAATTACATTCTTAGCTAAATACATCACTTTTCTTGATTAGCAAAAGTTTACCTTTTAAGTACTAAAAGTTGCTTTTTTAATCAGTTTGCAGGAACTGGTTCTAAAATGCATAACTAAATGTTATATATATATATATTTTTAAAAAGTTCTAGTATCACCAAAATAATTAGGAAGGACATCAAGTAAGGAGTGGTATGGGGAATGACACTAAGAAATATCACTTTTCTTGTGGTCACCAATGAAAATGAACAGTATTTATTTGCATCTGACTCATGTTTATTAAACTCATGGGCTCTAAAAACTGTTGAATGTTTTGTTCTGTAAATTAGGTTTCTAGTTTGTCAAGAAAAGATGACCTAGTTAGTGCCAGGACGGTGGCTCATGTCTGTAATCCCAGCACTTTGGGAGGCCGAAGCAGGCAGATCACAAGGTCAGGAATTTAAGACCAGCCTGGCCAACAATAGTGAAAGCCCGTCTCTACTAAAAATACAAAATTAGCCAGGTGTGGTGGTGCACGCCTGCAGTCCCAGCTACTTTGGGCGGCTGAAGCAGGAGAATCACTTGAACCCAGGAGGTGGAGGTTGCAGTGAGCCGAGATTGCATCTCTGCACTCCAGCCTGGGCAACAGAGTGAGACTCCATCTCAGTTAAAAAAAAAAAAAAAAAAAAAAGATGACCTAGTTAAAGTAAGTGTCCTTAAAAACCACACTGTATCACACACTCACTTTTCAACTGTTCTTGAACAAAAGATGGAGATGAAACATACAAATAAACAAACAAGAGCAATCTATGTGGAAGAACCAAGAAAGAGGCAAACGGGCTGAATGGAGGGTAAGGTAGGCCATTCAGCTTCCTGTGACTGCTCAGGGAAAGATGACCTTTCCCAGTTTTCTTCTGCCTTCCTTGGCTGTACAATACTGGGTCAAGAGATCATAAGCCAACTTATCAGCTTATCCAGAATGAAAATATGTCTCTGTTTCCAGAAATAAACAAGCTTAGGTGAACTTAGAAGGAAGGAAAAAAAGGCTGGAGTCAAATCTGAAGTGTCTCTCTCACGCTTTCCTCCAGGAAAACAGGATATAAAGGCCAATGCAACACATAAGATCAATGTGCGGTAAGTTTCTAGATCTATGAAACAGTTCCTCAAATAACTAAATTCCAGTGTGGTTTGGCACTGTTAATCTCACAGGATCAAGAAATATTTACCTAAAAATTGGTCTTCCTTTTTTTTTTTCTAGGTATTGGATCAGGCATCCAGCAAGACATAATCTCTGTGTTTTTTAGGAGCTTAGGGTCTGCATTTGAGCTTGCTTAAAACTTAATTCAACAAGTATTTCCCAGGAACCTATGATGGAAAGCAATGAATTTTTTTGGTTTATTATCAAAATTAGATGCTGCTTCTACTCTTCCTCAGAAAAGCAAAAACATAAAATTTTCCTTCTTTTCTAACCACAAATTTTTCCTCCTCCCAACTGGCTTTTCTGTACATTTGTAGCCACTTAAGTCCTTGGGACTGTATTCTAGTTATGTTCCAAAAAAGCCAGAAAAAAAGCATTCTGAAGAAAGTGATCCCACAGACTGGGTGGATGGTAGTTCATATTCACTGTTGAATTGATTTCATACCCACAACTGTAATACAATATGCTACTAAAAGTTTTTTTTCCCAAAGGAAAGGAAGTAACTTGGATTGAAGAGGAGGGGTCTTCTAGCAGGACAAGATAACTCAAAAAGCCTGGTTGACAAGCATTTCCCCCACACCATGGGTCATTATTATTGCAGTACTATCCGGAGTTTTACCCATGCTCTTTGATATTTTATGCAATAAAAAGATCTTTTGAAACTGGATTAATAATATATAAAACTACAGCTAGGCTCAATTAAAAAATATCTGTTTCTCAACTCACTGCCGTGTCTGACCACATCGGCAGACAGTAGCATGATAAACTTCATTTCTATTAGTTTTCTAGCTTTAACACACTAACTCCAATAAATACTACTGCAGGGATGAGTGAAAACTAAAGTCAGAGAGAATAGAGGGAAAAATAGGAAGACGAATGGAGAACTTTTTAGTCTGAGACATTATAAGCAACTCAAGAAGGAATCACAACATAGGAAAGAAATGGATTGAAAATTTTGTTTTGAGTCATTTGTTAAACTAGCAACAAACTATATTATTAATAATAAAATAGGAATATTTGATTTATTTATTTGCAGATTCTTTTGGCCTTTGACATTATTTGCAGGAAGACTAGAGCATTCTTTTTCTATTTAACATGTGGATGAAAGAATACATGGAATATATTTCATCTTTCTTAAATGCAATTGTCATGACCATGACTCTGGTCTGAAGAGGGGTGGATATAAGGCTCAAAGCCATAAAATAAAATACACAATTCAAGAAATTAAAAAATATATAAACAATTACATGTAAATGTAACATAAATGGACCATTTCAGTCCATCATGAGTAAACGAATATATAATGGTTTCTTACTGATAAATGCACCACCTGTAGAGGCAGCTTGTTAACGATTACACAAGGAATCATTCTACAGTATAGAATACTCACGTTTTAGGATGTTTCTTTGCTCTAATTCTTCAGACGTGGGCCTCTGGCTCAGCCTCCTATGATGACAAAAAGGATATATTAAGGTTACAAACAAGGTACCCTAGTAGGAGACTCAAAATAAAACAACAAAGTTCTATTTTTCATGTTTTGAGAAAGAAAAAACCATTTTTAAAGCTGCAAAATAAAAGTCTCCTTCTCATTAGTTTGGAGACTATGGATCATGGCTGAGGCTGCTCACTGACCCCCATCACGCAGTCTCCCTTCCTTTTAGCAACAGATAGGCCTGAATGTTAGCTAGGCACCTGACTACAGACTTCCACCTCCCTAGAAGCCAGGTGTGATGTTGTGATTGGGTTTCTCCAATGGGATGTGAGCAGAATGATGTTTGTTATTTCCCCTTCTCATCCTTAAAATGCCTGGATGTGTGTTCCCTTTTTTCTCTTTCCTTTTTCCGCAGGCTAGAACTTCAGCATGGTGGTGTGAGTCAGCTTTGGATCTTGCAGATGAGACCATTCAGAGGGACGGGAGAGCAGCAAGACAGAAGGAACATGGGTGCTAGGCTGACCTCAAGAAGCTGTGCTCCCCCTCATGCTGGATGGCCTACTTACCTGGGTACTGTCATATGAAAAGGAAATACACATACCTAGTTTGAACCACTGTAGTCTTTGGCCTCTGTTAGAGCTTATCTTATAGCCTAAATACTATACAGCTCATTAGGGTCTATAACAGGCTGTTGTTCAGTCGTTCCCACCAACTGAGATGACCAATCTATGCTGCACAGTGGTATAAGTGAAATGCTGCTTTGGGACCTCAAATGAATATATTATATATAAAGTTATAGGTCCTTCCCATCTGCCTTCAAGAAAACCCAAGCACGTTTGTGATTAGTTGCTATTTGTACATGAGAGCTGAATGTCCTAATAACCTTTTATAACTTAGTTGTTGGTCTTGTTTACATTATTAATTTATTGTTAATCAGGGAGAAAAGCTGTCTCTGGGCATAGGCTGAATTTGTGCAAATTAAATAAAAATACATAAAAAGTACTTGTTTTTAAAGAGAAAGGGTCTGGCTCTGTTGCCCAGGCTGGAGAGCAGTGGTGTGATCATGAATCACTACAGCCTTCAACTCTTGGGCACAAACAATCCTCCTACCTTAGCCTCCCAAGTAGCTGAGACTATAGGCATGTACCACCATGCCCAGCTAATTTTGCTTATTTATTTTTGTAGAGATGGGGTCTTGATATGTTGTCCATGCTGGTCTTGAACTCTTGGCCTCAAGCAATCCTCCTGCCTGGGCTTCCCAGGTTGCTGGGATTATAGGTGTGAGCCACCATGCCTGGCCGGGTAATCTTAATATGAGATAGTATTACCAATTCTAAATGTTTATGGCTATGACAGAAATGGTAAGAAGAATTGAAATTAATGATACTTTAAATATTTCATTAAAATGTTTGTTAAACTGTGATCTTCATCAGTGCTACCTTGAAACTAACTTAACTGAGCAGACAAAAGAACATATTGAATATCTACATCTATGCCAGCCAGGTTTTCTGCCATCCATATCCCCAAGTATCCTGTGCTACATAGCTGTACTATCAATATACTATGCCCACAATAAGCCACCCTTTTTTTATTTATGGTGTCTCTTCCCTCTGGGTTGTCTTTCTCTCCCTTTCCATCCACTGAAACCCTACAGATGATTAAAATAATATCTTGAAGATAGGCATTTGGCATCTCCTGAAAATGAGAATTAAAGGCTCCTGGTTCTTTGCTCATTTACAGCAATTTATAAACAGACTATACATCTATTAAAACACTTATCACACAGGTAATTATAAAGATAATAATTACAGCCATCATTTAGTCAGTTTTAAAAATCCAAGTACTGTGTGTGCTAGGTGCTTAGTTTACATGATCTTGAATCCTCAAAACAATTCAGCAAGGTAGCAGCCAGTTCCAATTTTACAGATGAAGAGATGAAAGATGAGGAACGCCTAAGGTAAAACACTAGTAAATGCTAGCGCCAGAATTCATACTCAAGTCCTTTGACTTAGATGTTTGTGCTTTTCACATGACCCCATCGTGCAACATATAATTCTGTCTCTCATTAGACATGGAGTTCTCTATGGCTGGAACTGTGTTCAATGACAGTGATTAGATGCACTTTGTTTGTACAAAAATAATTCTGTAAAATTTACATTTTAGTAACAGTGAAAACTCTGATCTATTAACTTCTTTCATTTTTTTGTGAGACAGGGTCTACCTTTGTCGCCTAGGCTGGAGTACAGTAGCGTGATCTCAGATCACTGCAACCTCCACCTCCTGGGCTCAAGCAATCCTGCCACCTCAGCCTCACAAGTAGCTGGGAATGACTACAGGTGCATGTCACCAAGCTCCACTAATTTTTTTTTTTTGGTAGAGGTGGGGTTTTGCCATATTGCCTAGGCTTGTCTCAAACTTCTGGGCTCAAGGGATCTACCATCTCATCCTCCCAAAGTGCTGGAATTATAGGCATCGAGCCACTGTGCCCAGCCATTGACTTTTCTTTTTTTGAGATAGAGTCTTGCACTGTTGCCCGGGCTGGAGTGCAATTGCGTGATCTCGGCTCACTGCAACCTCTGCTTCCCGGGTTTAAGCGATTCTCTTACCTCAGCCTCCCAAGTAGCTGGGATTACAAGCACCCACCACCATGCCCAGCTAATTTTTTTGTATTTTTAGTAGAGACGGTGTTTCACTATGTTGGCCAGGCTGGTTCTGAACTCCTGACCTTGTGATCTGCCTGCCTTGGCCTCCCAAAGTGCTGGGATTATAGACATGAGCCACCGTACCTGGCCCATTGACATTTTTTATCGATATAGTCTATGTATTTATAAAGGCTTTTGAACTTTTGGGGGTTGCAATGGAATCCTAATCTCTAAGAGAGAGACAGAAGCTGTCTCAGTTGGATTGTTAGATTAGAGATGGAGAACGCGCCTCCCATCCCAGCCCAAACATACACCTATACTCCCATCCCAACTCAAACACACACCTATACTCCCGTCCCAGCCCAAATACACATCTGCACTTCCCCGGCTCTTCCAGGACATGCATATGTATCATTTCCAGGGCATCCTTGATGAAGTGTTCAGAAAACTGGTACTTTATGGGATTCCACAGTGTCAGCTTCTCAGTATTTTCAATGGCCCCTTGTTTTTGAGCATTTGGTATGTTTTAATTTGTTATTGCTATAAAAGCCTTGTAATGAACATCTTTGTAAGACATAGCATTTTGCCCCTTGGATTATTTCCTTTTTATATAGTCCTCAAATGGAATTATCATCCAAAGAAACAGACTGCTTCATAATTCTCATATCATACTGTTAAACTGTTCTTCAGAAATACCGAAAAGGTGCAATGTATACATGTCCTATTTGCCCATAAACTTGCCAACATTGGGTTTAAGTTTTAAGGTTTTTTTTCTTTTTGAGACAGAGTCTCACTCTGTCACCCAGGCTGGAGTGCAGTGGCACAATCTTGGCTCACTGCAACCTCCACTTCCTGGGTTCAAGCAATTTTCAGCCTCAGTCTCCCAAGTAGCTGGGATTAGCTGGGATTCTAAGCATCCACCACCACATCTGGCTCATTTTTGTATTTTTAGTACAGACAGGGTTTCATCATCTTGGCCAGGCTGGTCTTGAACTCCTGACCTTGTGATCCACCCACCTCGGCCTCCCAAAGTGCTGGGATTACAGGCATGAGCCACTGCGCCCGGTGAGTTTAATTTTTAAATGTGCTTTTCTAGTTTAACTGCTGTACAATAATTTAAATTAATAATAAGGAAATTTTATTGAGTGCTTGCTATGACCCAGGTACTAAAGTACCTTAAGTGTATCATCTCCTTTAATCCTCCCAAGCTCTTGGGTTAGTTAGTTCCGTTTTACAGATGGGGCCAAACAGGGACACTTTCCTGCCTTGTCCTAGAGATTGTATTTCTGCCAGTTCTGGATAAGCCCACACTTGGATGTTGAATAACCACCTCTCACAATGGCTATGGTCATGATGATTTTCATTAAATTTATCACAGCCCCAAATACCTTTTAAATCTGTAGCCACAGGCCTCTCATCCTATCTTGGCAGATGGTTTTTCTCTGGCCCACACTGAAAAAGGTGACATTTATTTCTATCAGGTTTCCTTTTATAGGCTGAATCCATCATACCCTGATTCTATAAAGTATATCTATTGTCCCTCAAACTTCACACCACTCATTTGTTTAACTTGTCTGCTGATTCTTCTTCATTGATAAAAATGTTTACTCTCTCTCCATTTAGTTACATATTCCTCCATTTCTTCCATTATGATTTTCTGGAAATGGATTTCTTGGGCCTGGAGTTAATAGTTAAGTATTTAAAATATGGTTGTTGTTATTTCTGTGAATGCAATCTCCCCTTTTCATTGTATTTTCTTCTATGTATCAATGTTATATAAATATAATGTTGATTTTTTTAATAGGTTAATCTTAGGCAAACCTGCTGAAATTATTACACATAGCAATTTTTGGTTAGTTTTTAGAGTTTTCTAGGTATATAATGATGTATAATAATGGTATATCTTTCCTATAATTTATGCCTTTTCTTTACCACAAATAATTTTGACCAGACTTTTGGTACAGTAAGGTTAAGGAATTTTTGTTTGCTTCTATTTTTGAAGAAAATGACTTCAGGGTTTCTCCCTATAGTAAGATATTTGGCATTGTTTTATTTTATTTTTTTGAGACGGAATCTCACTCTGTTGCCCAGGCTGGAGTGCAGTGGCATGATTTCGGCTCACTACAACCTCTGCCTCCCAGGTTTCTGCCTCATCCTCCTGAGTAACTGGGATTACAGGTGCCTATCACCATGCGCAGCTAATTTTTGTATTTTTGGTAGAGATAGGGTTTCACCATGTTGACCAGGCTGGTCTCAAACTCCCGATCTCAGGTGACCTGCCCACCTTGGTCTCTCAAAGTGCTGGGACCACAACGCCTCATTTGTTTAGGATTTTGACAAAACTTACACAATTTTCTTTACTGCTACTTTGGCATTTGTTGAGGTGGATATATGATACTTCATACTTTTTACTCCTATGATAAACGATAAGGATATTCTGCTTTTAAGGGATACACCCTATTTGCATTATTATTTTATGCAAATATTATTCAATGATTTAAATTCTTCTTCATGACAAAACATAAAAGAGAGCAATAAAACAACCAGGAAACCTAGAAGCATATACTCTCTTACATAGGGTAGAAAGTACAAAACAGGAGACAGTATACAAAAGAAAATTGGGCAGACAGCCCAGGAGTTCTGCTACTCAGTAACTGCGTGTCCTTGAGAAATTTCCTTAAATCTTTCTGCGCCTCAGAGAGGCCCCTTGTTTTTCCTTGGTAAGATGACAAGTTTAGACTTGTAGGTTTTTCCAGCTCGATACCATTAATCACTTTAGTCCCTCTTTCTTCTGCTGGCTCTTTCCCTGAAGCCAGAAATGGTCACAGGTTAGGGCTGAATTAAGATGAGAGTGAGAGAGACCACTGGTGAGCATTCCCGAATTTCTCCCAGAGTCGTAAGAAGGCTTCTGGAGCAGAGAGACCCTCTAAGTCTCCCACTGGGTTCCCTGGTAGGCTGTGCTTTCCCTT